CCTAATGTAAACCCTAATGTAAACCCTAATGTAAACCCTAATGTAAACCCTAATGTAAACCCTAATGTAAACCCTAATGTAAACCCTAATGTAACCCTAATGTAAACCCTAAACCCTAATGTAAACCCTAATGTAAACCCTAATGTAAACCCTAATGTAAACCCTAATGTAATGTAAACCCTAATGTAAACCCTAATCCTCACATCTCGGATAAGAGAAGCTATGGTCAAGGAATGGAAGCATGGTGACATCCCACCCGCCTTGTCTCAAAAGCTAGTCAAATCTCTATCCCGCACTACAAGTCTTTTTGATTGTACGCGTCAATGGAACCGAGAAATCCTGGAGATCGTGAAGGTATCGGAATTGCCTAATTCCCCAACTCCCTCTAACGATCTTCCCTTTATGGAACTTCGTGCTGAGACCTAACGGCTCCTGCTTCGCAGAAGGACCCTAATGTTAAACCCTAATGTTAGGTAACCCTAATGCGGTTCGTAAGCAGGATTCACCAGAAGAAACCGTTCTGGCAGTCTTAGTTACATAGAGAACCTCAGATTCATTGACGTTGTTGGAATACGCGCATGACTGAGCCGGGGATAACCGTTTCTAACCGCTTCACCACCGGATTAGGAAGGTGCGGCATTTGTTGTAAGACCTTATCAGTATCCCTGTTACAGGACTAGGGTTTGTATGGATCAACGTGGTTTTGAAACTTTCTTAGTACGTCAGCTGTGCTGTTTTTGCCTTACCCCGCTCGTGGCGGAAGGCCCTGAATCGCTTGGTGACCACTCGGGATCATAAGGTGTCAGCTCCGGCTGCGTAACCTTCCGAATCTGCCTCGTCAGCGGAGCCATCGATTGGGTGTCTAGGCGCTGACATGCATGACTGTCCGAAAAGTAAGTTCCGCGCCCGCGTCGGACCAACATTCCTCCGTCTCGGCAGCCAGGGAAACTGCCTAAGGCATCATCCCGATTAGTGGCATATAAGCCCCTTACTTCCCCCGAGAAGCTGAAGAGTCCCAAGGACGAAAGCACCGCTCATCTGATGTGCTACTCTCGTTTTTGGTGTCCCCTGTTCTTCCATCGCCTTTTCTGATAAATGTAAACCCTAATGTAAACCCTAATGACTATTTTAATAATAATTTTATTTTAGATTCTAAAGAATAAGTATAATCTATTATTATATTATAAAAATAATCTTAAGAAAGATTATAAAAGTACTTCTTATTTATAAATAGTTGAGACTAATTTAGAAATAATCCTATAGATTTTATTCATCTAGTCTATTTAGTTTATTTTACTAGTCTTATTCAATATTTTTATTATATTTATTTTATTTGTTTATTTATTTTGTTTATTCTTTTAGCTATTCTATAATAAACTTAAATAAACAAATACATGAAATAAACTAATCTAGTTTTTATTTAGAAGTTCTTTTAGATCTTATTTAATTTATCCTTATATAATCTGACTCTCTTAGATTTAATATAGTCTAAATGTTATTAATTAAATTATATTAAAACTTAAAAAATAGTATTTTCTAAATAGGATTTATTTATAATAGAACTATAGACGCTATATATACTTTATATCTAACTATATTTAGATGTTAAGCGGCTAATCATAATCCTCAATGCCGCCCTACTTGAAAGCACTGGACCCCTATTGCTTCATCCCCTGTAGAATAGGAGGATAGGCCTCCGTAAATTCAATTGTAAAATTTGCATCTTTTGCAAAGACTTTTTTTTCGCAGGTATTGACTCTGTCCCGGTCGTCCGCCGGTCTGCCGTGCGGTGCGGGGTATTCTGTTGTTCTGGCTCTGGATTGGCGTCGGATCCTTCCATCATGCAGTTTGATGATTTGCTGGGTTGGTGACTAATTGCCCAGTGTGCATTCCCCCCGTCGGTCTTAGGCAGCGATAGAGAATGACTCAACTGTGACTCATTTCTAGTTCCGTACTGGGAAAGGCCATGCTTTACTGAGCATCATCACACCATCTTGGATTGGATAGGTAGGTAATTACTTACCTCCTCTCAGGGTCATCAACAAGGCGTGTGGCGGCTTAGTAGCTACACACCGTACAGAGCCTGCGGTTGGGGTACATCTAGCCGGCCTACCAAGGCTGACATTATAAGAGGATCCCATCCACGGGTCAGTAGGTGGAAGCAATGCTCCAGTCGCAACCTTTATCATCTAGCCAGAGCACAGTCGGCTTTCTAACGCCCTGAACCATTAGAGCAGAACATGTCCGCTCAACTCGACGCCGTCTGTATCGCCGGTCTCTCCCTACACGACCCCGCACACTTCAGCATCCAGCACTCGCAAACTCTGCACCGCCTGATGCTCCTGCAGCACTGGAACATTCCCACTGGTGCCAAGGTGCTGGAGCTAGGATGCGGGCAAGGGGACTGCACGACTGTTCTTGCAACTGCCGTGGGCGAGGAAGGAAGGGTGGTCGCGGTCGATCCGGCGGACCTGGATTATGGTAAGCCCTGCTGCCATTCCGTCCTGACGGTGCAAATAGAACGAAGCTGACCAATGGCTGCTGCAGGTGCGCCGTATACCCTTGGCCAAGCACAGGGCCACATTTCGCAAGGCTCACTGGGTGATCGCATTACTTGGATCCAACAACCCCCTCTGGACTACCTCTCCTCACTCCCTACCCCCTCCCCATCCTCGCCCCTCCCCAGCCAGACTAAGGTCTTCGACGCAGCAGTGCTCGCCCACAGCCTATGGTACTTTGCCTCCCCCTCACTCATTCTATCCACCTTGTGTGCCCTCAAGCAGCACAGCAAGCGTCTCCTTCTTGCCGAGTGGTCATTAGTCGCCACGCACCCCGCTGCTCAGCCTCACGTGTTAGCGGCGCTTACCCAAGCCGCGCTGGAGTGCCGCAAACCCAATAGTGACTCGAATGTCCGCACGGTGCTGGGACCCAAGCGGCTTACCGCGCTGGCCCTGGCCGCCGGGTGGCAGTTGCAGAGCGAGACCCGCGTGCAAAGTGGGGAGGGCTTGTTGGACGGACAGTGGGAAGTCTCTGCTTGTCTGTCTTCATCTTTCGAAAAGGAGGTAGAGGAGGGACTGAGTGATGTGAGGGAACGGGCGATGGTTCTTGCGTCACGGGATGCGTGTGAGGCGAGCTTGGAGGGTATACCAGGGGGCCGGACAGGGGTTAGGGCCATGGATGTTTGGGTGGCTAGTTTCATGTGATCGGGCCATTTACCTCTGCTTCCTACAGTAACAGACAACTGCTTCCCTCCGCCTTGATCTTGCAAAATTAGCCATGTGCGACGGTCGTTAGCGACCAACGGGCCAGGATGCAGGGCTCTGTTTTAATTACATCTCCGACCTACTTCTACGGTCGGCGGCACTCCAGCCCTGGCAGCCATGCCTTGTGAACGGAATTTGCTGTGTAACCCCGATCCGTGCGGACTCAGGTGTCTAGGGGGGCGGCAAATGGATTCAGTGACCATGCAGTAGTTTTGAAACAGGTCTTTCCTAGGGGGTCCAGTGATCAGTGTACCTGCATATGTATGGAGGTTACAGGCTTACGTGCATTCGGGGTTTCGGACCGGAGAAAAGCCCGAGGCCAAGCAAGACAACGAAACCAATTCCTGCTATGATCTAACTTTGGCCAGCAAGCATGGACTGGAAGGTCCAGGGGCTGATAATAGTGCGTAGCTTGCTGTCTGTGCTTTGGTCGTGGGTTTGTCCGTCTATTTCATGCTGCGCCTGCTTGTTCTTTTGACATCCTCTGTTAATCCATTCCCTTTTCTCATCCCCTCCCCCATGGCTAAAACCCCAACTCCCGAATTGGAGCAGAAGAAAGCCCTACCCAACTCGACATTCAGCAAAGCACTAGATAGTCCACGCGATCGAGGGACTGAGCCAGAAAGCGATGAGACGAACTCCGACGAATCTCCCCGGACCCCGGGGCCCAAACCGAGGAAGACCTGGCGGTTTTGGGCGGTCTTCCCGGCCTTGTGCATGACGACCTTCCTCGCCGCTCTCGACACATCGATCCTCTCCACTGCCCTTCCGACCATTGCGCTCGACCTTCACGCGGGAGAGTTGTACATGTGGATTACCAATGCATACATTCTGTCCTCCACCGTGGTCCTCCCGCTCTTCGGCCAAACGGCGAACATCTTCGGCCGACGATGGCTAATGATCATTTCCGTGGTTATCTTTGCGGTGGGAAGCGCCATCGCCGGAAGTGCCAATACCACCACGGCGATCATCGCCGGGCGAGCAATCCAAGGGATTGGAGGCGGAGGCATCAACATCCTCGTGGACACCGTCATCTGTGATCTGGTGCCCCTGCGCCAGAGGGGTAAGTATGTGGCACTCATGGCCTCGGTCTGGGCTGTAGGAACCACCCTTGGCCCTGTTCTTGGTGGTGCCTTTGCGCAGCATGTCTCCTGGCGCTGGGTCTTCTACATTAACTTGCCCTTGTGCGGTGTCTCACTTTTCCTTCTCGTGCTCTTCCTTCGTGTCAACCATCCGCCCCGACCCCCGAGCATAACCCTCGGGCAACAACTTGGCCGCGTTGATCTCCTGGGCAACATAATCCTCGCTCTGGCTGTCGTCGCCATTCTTCTAGCCTTGACATGGGCGGGGACCTCCCACCCCTGGTCCTCCTGGCGAGTTCTGGTGCCCCTGTCTCTTGGATTTGCAGGCCTGGTTATCTTCTACATTCATCAGGCATCGCGCTTCTGTCGGGAACCCTCTATCCCACTCCAGCTCTTTTCCAGTAAAACCGCCCTTTGTGCCCTCTGGCTCTCCTTCCTCCAGAACATGCTCCTCTACTGGGTGGGCTATTTCCTGCCCGTCTATTTCCAGGCTCTCCGCAGCCTGTCCGCCACTGCCTCCGGCCTTGCTGTCCTCCCCATCACAGCAGCCATTGCGCCCTTCGGCGTGATCACCGGCATCTTGATCGCAATGAAGGGAAAATACCGCCCCTTTCACTTCCTGGGTGTGAGGCTATGAAAAGAAGATGAATCAACCAGACAAGAATTCCATTCTTAGGAAAAAAAAAAAAGAAAAAGACCCTACGGGCCTTTATTCTAGACTATATATATATATATAAGACTATAAATACCTAAGATATAACCGGTTATATAATAAACTATTAAAATATTTATTATTATTTTTTTCTTCTACAAGCAGACTAATCTATATAAAACAGCAGCATCTAATTAGCCAGTTAACTAAACTATAATAGTTAAAAAAATAGAAATAAAAAAATTAATAATTAATACTATAATTAAAATAAATTTTTAGCTGATTAATTTAATTCAAAGAATCTGCTTTAAAAATAAAAAAAAACTTAATTAAATAATATATTTTTTAACTGTCGGGTGTAGAAATAGCTAGTTAACTATAATTTTTTACTAATTAATATAAATAAATAAACTAACTAGAAAACTAGACTAGTTAATATAATTAACTAATTATAAAATTAAAAAAAATAGATTATAAATTACTGTAGAAATTACTTAGAATTTTTAAGCTTTATATAAATAAATAACTGTTAGTACTAATAACAGTTTATTTAACTAGTTAATTAAACTAAATAATTTAATAAAAAATTTCAGCTAGTTAGTAGACTAGTATAATAAACTAATAAAAATATTAGCCGGTAAATAAAATAAAATAATAAACTAACAGAAAATACTAGCCGGTTGGTATATTAAAATAATAAACTAGTAGAAAATCCTAATTAATTAATAAATTTAAATAATAAACTAACAGAAAATTTTAGCCGGTTAGTAGATTATAAATAAATATATTTAAATTACTTTTAACTATTTTTAAATTAGCCGGTTATAAATTAATAAAAATAAATAACTAAATAAAAAAGTCCGGGAGCGGTAGGTTATCCAAATACTAATTATAGTATATAATAATCTTTAATAATATATTTTTAAAATTATACTATATTTATTATAGTAGATTAATATTCTAATTATTTTAAAATTTTTTAAATAAGATTTTATAATATAAGCTATAATAAATACAGCAGTAGTTTATAATTTTTTAAATAATTTATTTTTTTTATATTTTATTTTTTTTATATTTTATTATTTATATTTAAAATTATAATAGAGTTCTCGGAGTTTTTAGTCTGCCCGGGATATAAATTTAGTAAAATAAATATTAATTTCTAAAAATAAAATATTAAATAAAACCCTAAAGTTTTTATATATCTAAATAAAACCAGCTTATAAGCTTTATAATTAATTATATATATAATTAGCTATAGTTTAAAATATTTTAAAGTAAGTAACTAGCTTTTCTACTATAATTAAAAATAATAAATATTAATAAATATATAATTTTAATATAAAACTTAAAATATAGTTAATACCGCCGGTTAGCCTACTCGGTATATATAGTCTATATCTAAATAAGCTAATCTTATAAAAATCAGATTATATTCTTAGTATATTTAATTAATTTATTAGTAGTAAGAACATCCGGATATTAAAGACCCCCGAATATTTTTAAAAACTTAGTTTTAATCTAAAAATAATAGTTCTAATTAGTAAAAAATAATATTATATTAGTTAATTAATTGATATAATTATTAGCAGCCAACTAGATATAAAAAAATTATTTAATTATTTTAAATAAAATTAATAAACACCCGCAGATAGTTCTTTAAATAGTAAATGATATTCTTATTCTAATTATTAGTTTTAGAATAGTATATAAAAAAAAGATACTATTTAATATTATAATATTTATAATAATAAAACTAGAAATAGCTAATAAAAGTACTACTATAATTAAAAATAATTAAAACTAATAATTTATATTTAAAAAATATTCAGCAGTATATAACTTTAATAAATTTTTTTATAGACTTATTTTATAATAGCTTAAAAAAGTAATATTTAATTAACCAGTTAATAATTATTAATATATAATAATAAATATAATTATTATAAATATAAATAAAAAGCTTCTTAGTATAGTTTATAATTAGTTTTAGCTATATATAAACTAATATTAAAAATAGTTAGAATAAACTATATTTCTAATTTATAGTTTTAGTCTAATAATAAATTAAACAGATACCAGCAAACTAATTAATATTATTATATATATATAGTTAAAAGTAGCCCCGGACTATAATATAATATATAATTTTAGGCCTGGGATAACCGGCAACTAGCCGGATATAATATAATTATATAATTTACAACTAAAAAAACTAGCTTTTAAATATAAAAAAATAATCCCGCAGCTAAAAATAATTATTTTAAAAAATAGGCTTTTTTATATTAAGCTTAATACCGGTCTAGATAATAATAGGCAGTTTATTTTTCTTAGTTTTAATAATTATTTTAATTATTATATTATTATAATAAACTATATTAATTAAAATTTTAAATAAAAATTCTTTCTTAGAAGTAGTTTTAATAGTAGGCTTAGTAAAAGTGCCGGAAATCTTAGAAGCTTTAGTAGTAAAAATAATAATAATAAAAATAATAAAAAATATCTAAACTTTAAAGACTATAATAATAAAAATAGTAAAAGATACCTAAACTTTAAAAATCTTAATAATAGAAATAGCAGAAGACGCCTGGGACTTAGACTAGCTAGATACTAAATCAGCTATAAATATAATAGTAAAAAATTTCTACAGATTTTTATTTAATTAATAATTTTATAGTAAAATCTAAAACTACTTATATTTATAATTATTATTTATATTTTTTAACAAATTCTATAACTATTAGATAAGAATATCCGGCTTGATATTTTATTTCCCCGGGCGATATATAATCTTAAAATTAAATTTAAAAAAAAACTTAGTCTAATAGATTTAATAATAGTTTAACTATTTAATTATTGTAAAATATCATAAATTATAATAATTAGTATAGATCTTAACCAGCTTATTTAATACAATATTTATAAATTTAGACTGCTAAACCTTAAAATAGTAAATAATAATAAAAGGTTTTTTATTATAAATTATATAATTCAGCTTAGTAGAAGATATCTATTTTAAAAAAAAGATTATAAATTAAAATATACTATTATATATCTGCAAAAGTATATTTATAAATATAAAATCTAAAAGATTAATCTTTATTTATATTTTTAGATTAGAATAAAATAAACTAAAACCAGTACTTTAATAAAATCCTACTTTAGATCTTCGAAGACCTTTTATATTTTATTTATTTAATAAGATAAATAATAACAGATTTTCTTTATTTTAAAGCAGATAAGATAAGTCTTACTTCTTTTAATTATATTAATAAATAAATATAACTAATTATTAAAATCTAAAATAAAATAATAATAAAAATCTATAAAACTTATAAAAGTCTATATATTTTTAATTATATAAAATATTTATTAGTTGCTAATAACTTTAATTTTAACTAGATTTATATAAATATTATTAGTATTAATAATTAGACTAAAATAAGATATTTTAATAATATAAAATATATATTTATTAATATTAAGCTGTAGTCTATAGTCTAGTAATTAATAGAATATTTTAAAAATATATTAAATATATTTCTACTATATCTAGCTATAGATAAGCATATTATTTAAATATATAATATAAAATATATTTAAAAAATTAAATATAATCTTATTAATAAAGCTTTAAAAAATAGTAGATATATTATAAAAACTAAAAAATATAACCAAATATTTAAACTATTTATATTAAATATTAAATATAATCAGCTACTTTTAGTTCTTTTAAATATAAAGCCGGTTAAATATATAAATTATATTAAATTTAATAAATATTATAGTCTTACTTAATAAATTTAAAATCTTATTAATTAATAGAATAGAATGATAATTTTTAATAATATAGTAGTTTATATATATACGAAGGCTTCTACCGGGCTTATATATAAATAAAACCAGAGCTGTTACTAAAAAAAGCTTAAATAAATAAAGCTTTTATTTAAATTTTTATTAAAATATTTTTTAATTATATTAAGTTTTTATTTGGATATTAAATAGTAATTCTAAATAAACAGCGGCTTAGTATTATTAAGTAAATAGATTTTATAATTCTTAGAATAATATAGCAGCAGAATATTAGCATCTTATTTTATAAAAATATTAATTATACTATAATATTTAAAAAAGACTCTTATTTTTAGCTGTTTATAAATATATTTAAATTTATTTTTTATAAATATATTATAGTTATCAGGCCGCACTACTCTAATAGTTATAGAATAGAAAAAAATCTTATATATATAAAATATTAAAATAAAGCTATAATAATTAGAATATATAGCTATATAATAAAAAGTAGATATATTTATAAAATTAATATTAATTAGTAAACTAGCCGGCAAACTAATAAAATTAATTAATAAATTAATAAAATTAACCGGCGAGAAGCTGATAGTAATATAAAAAAAATAAAAAAATAAAAAAATAAAAAACTACTTTAAATAATAATCTTAATTATATAAAATCTTATATATTTAAAATAGTTTTCTATAAAATGTTAGAATAAGTTAAAAATAATTATTTATTTAATATAATTAATATAAGAATTATAAATACAAAGCTATAAATCGCCTAAAATTAATTTCTATTAAAAAAAATTAATTAAATAGCAAAATAATTACTCTAAGTAATTACTAATAGTTAAAATATATAGAATACTTTCTATTAACAGATTATATAAAAAACTATTAATAAGAAATAAAAAAATAAATTTAGCCAGCTTATAAATAAATAGTTGTAGTCTATATATAAAAAACTTATTAAAAAGATTTATTTTATTTTTATTATTAATTAAAATATAAATAGTTTTCTAGTTTATATATACTATAAAAATAAGATATAATCTAAAAACAGATTACTTTTTATTAAAAATAACTAAAAAACTAACCGGTAAACTAACAACCAGCCGGCCAACCAGTAAAAATTTAGCCGGTTAATTAATTAATAGACTAAATAATAAAAAAAAAAGAAAAAAAAAACAGCAATTATAAAAAAAATTATATAATATAAAAATAAAAATATTTAAAATAGTTAAATTTTTAGAAAAAGATTTCTTATTATATTTCTAATAAAAAATTATTTTTTTATCTTTTTTTTAATAATAGATTTAATAGAAAAAGACAAATTCTTAGAACTGTTAGTAGTAATTTTATTAATATTATAATTATAATAAATTTTATTAGAATAATATATATTATTTATATAATAGTCGGAGTCTTAGTAATTAAAATAATAGAATTAATATATTAATATTATTTATTTTTTTATAATAAGCCTCGGGGGCTGATTTTAAAAAATAAATTAGATATTAAACCAGTTCTACAGCTTAATAATAATAATATTAAATTTAATAATAGGATCTATAGACAGGTTTAGTACTAAAAAAACTAGTAAAACTATAAATTTAATTATAAAAATAATAAAAAAAGATCTTTATTTAGTTTTGTTTTATATAATAAGTATTATTAAATATATTTCTTATATAGATATATTATTTAATAGATAAAAAATAATTACTGTAAGATTAAATATAATAAAATATTTTTATATATATTTAAACTTAGGAATTCCGGCTTTATGAAAAAAGTTAAAAATATAGTAATAATATATAATAATTATTTTACTAAATTTTTAGATTACTAAGACTAGTTCTTAATTAGTTATATCAGCTATAAAATAAATATTAAAATAATATTTAATCTTTTTAAATAGATTAGTAAATCTGATATTTAAACTATAAATAATTATCTATTTATTAAAAAAATAGATTTTTTTCTTTAACTTAATATATATTATATTTAGCTTTATTTAATTAGAAATATAGATTGATTCTTCTTTAACTTTTTTAAAAATATAAATTTTGTTAAATTATATATATTAATTAAATTATTCTTAGAAAACTATTAAAAATAGAAAGTATAAAAATATTATATAATAATAATAACAGCAGCAGCTATAGCAGCAGTAGTATAATTAGAATTTATATAAAATAATTTAGATTTTAATATGAACTTAAACTTAGACTTAGATTTAGATTTAGATTTAGACTTAAACTTAGGCTCGGACTTAGACTTAAAAAAAAATAAATAAAATAAACTATTATTAATAGTAAGAAATTTATATAGATTATTTTATTTCTTCTAATAAAAATAAATAAGCTTTTTTAAATAAAAATAATTAAAAATATTTAAATTTTTATTAAGTATATTAATTTTACTAGTTTTAGATTACCATAAGAATTTAAATATTTTATTAATATTAGAAAAAAAGCTGAATTATTAAGATTTTTTATTTTTATAATTTAATAATAGAAATAGCAGTATATCTTTTTATAATAATATAAAAAAACTAAAATCTTTATCTATTTAGATTTATTATTAAATATAATTTAGTTTTTTAGTAATTCTTTTACTTTATAGTAAAAAAATATCAGCCGGAAGATAAAAATATTTTATATTTTCTAAAATTAAAAATCTAATATTTTTAAATTATATCAAAAAATTAATAAAATTAATTAAATTAATAAAATAATTAATAAGATTAGTAAACAGAAATAAAAAATAGAAATTATTTAAATAAAATAATAAAAAACTTATTAGTAATAAGTTTTTTAGTAGTTATAATTAACAACAGCAACAGTTAGAATCTAAATTAAAAAAAACAAATTCTTAATAATAGAAAAAGATTAAAAAAAATAAAAAAAATAAATAATTAATAAAAAAAGAATAGAATTAGTATAAAACTATAAGAAAAAGATAAATTAACCAGATAAGAATTTTATTCTTAGAAAAAAAAAAGATTCCGCAGATCTTTACTCTGGACTATATATATATGAAGAACCATAGATGCCTAAGGTACCTATGGCCGGTCATATGACAGGCCGTCAAGGCGCCTGTCAGTAGATGGCGGTCCCATTTGGTTTTACTGGGCTCTTGTTGTGTTTCCCAGTTCGCGAGGTGAAGCTGAGAGAAGAATTGGTGACCGAGTTTGGCTTACGAGAGTGATTGTTAACATTACATATTGACACGCTGTACAGATAAATTGCTAGAAGAATAGCAACAAAGGCCCCAGCTCCTCGATCACCGTTCCAAGATAAAGTTGATGGCGCACTGCAGCCAATCTCCTCACTCTGGCCCTAGGTAACGATCGATAGAAATTTGAGATAATGACCACTATCACCAAATAATCACATCCGTTTCATGCAAATGGAGAAGAGCTACAAAGTAAGTACAAAGAGCGGCTTCCAGCCGCATTCCGAGCGCGCCCATGTACGTTCTGGAGGAGCACTGGCAGGCCAATAAATGATTTGGCTGATTCTAGAAATGTTCGACAAAGGACATCGGAGCGACTCTACAATACGGCTTCGGCAAGTCCTCTACCGTGTGTCTGACGGTCGAGCCGATCGCTAGCTCAACATTACTATCTGGATAAGGTCTCGGTTCGGTCAAGTCACCGCCAGATCTCTTGTGTCCCAACACCATTGCTTCATTCTGAAGTAGTGGTTCTAGTGATGAACACAACCGAAGGGTCACAAATCATTGAGGTCTGCACGGACATCACATTGAATTGATTATGAGTGACTGAGACTCGAATGACAATCATACGCATATACAGTAGAGTACAGAAGTCATTGGTCGCTCGCACATAACAGCTGATCACTTGACCCCTATTTACAGGGACAGGTAGTGTGATGGATTATTCCACAGACCTATGCAATATTACACCATCTTGAAATCTACTTACACAGCTAAAGCTCCTTGGTGGACCACTGATAGTAGATCGGGGGTACCTTCTGACAGACTGGAATTTTCGCTCCTTTGCAACCCTACTTGCAGCACATCATCACTCCTTCCCAGGCCTGAAGTCTAATAGTTGCTCCATTGCCAACGGCAATGCTCCTTTGGAGCGAAGAAGACGCCATCCAATCCACCTCTAGCGACCCAGGGATCTTCCAGGCTACGTTCTCGCCAGTCCAATTCATCACAACCAGCCACTTTTCTTTTGTCTGCGCACCTGTTCTCAGGTATGCATAGATTTGCTCATTGTCCAGGTCCACGTCCTGGTAGTCGCCATACACAAAGACATCTTTGTACGTCTTGCGGTGGCGTAGAGCGAGCTGCCAGTATTGCCAGACAGAGAGATCCTGGCTTTCGCATTCCATCTGCGCTTTCACATTTACCGTGACAAAGTCATCATTCACTCTCATCCATGGTGTCACGTTGGCTGCTGCAAATCCTGCATTGGGCTCGTCGCTCCACTGCATTGGCGTTCGGGCGTGGTCCCTGGCCTTTTTCTGAAGAAGCTCTCTTGCCTTTTGCATTTGTACCGGATCGTCGGAATAGAGCCTTTTCGCCTTCTGCCAAAAGTTGATACTTTCTATATCCTTGTAGTCCACATCTGGATCCCAGTCCGCTGAAAAGTTTCGCATCCCAATCTCCTGACCCTGGTAGAGATACAAGGTACCACCGAGAGTCGACTGCAAAAGCGCAAGTAGCTTGCCACCACGCGCACGGAACTTGTTGCTATCGTCCACGTAGCGCGACACCGAGCGAGCCTGATCGTGGCACTCCAAAAAGAGTGCATTCCATCCATCCCATTCGATCATGTTTCTTTGCCAAGCGGAGAAGATCTGTTTGAGCTCTGTCAATTTCCAGTCGCGCAAACTCCATTTCGAATCTCCTTTGGTCTTGACATCCGCAATTTCCATGTGGTCAAAGATGAAGATCATATTCAGTTCTTTGGCAGTTGCTCCGACGGTCTTGATAATTTCGCTTATGTCGCTGACGTAGGCTGTTTCTCCGACGGTGATGGTGTCATACTCTGAGAGAACATTCTCGTATATTCCATGCATGAACTCGTGGAAGCGCGGCCCATTAGTGTAGAATCTCTCTCCGGGTTGGAACTGGCAACTGGGGTCGACGACTGGGGCATCGGGGAATGAAGGATCCTTAGAGATCAGATTGATCACGTCCATTCGAAATCCTGAAACTCCTCGGCTCAACCAGAAGTGCATAACCTAGAGGAATCGGTCAGTGGGGCTCAGATCAAATGACACCGAATGAGGGTGGAGATACATCGTGAACGGCAGCGATCACATCGGGATTCTCCCAGTTCAGATCAACTTGTTCCGGGGTATGAAGAGTCAAATAGAATTCCTGCGGTGTTTCGCTCCAGGTTCAAGCACTATGGGAGTCGTTCAAGATTTGGGCCCAGTTGTTCGGAGGCAAAGGGTTTCCCACAGAATCGTATCCGCGCGGCGGCTTCCAGATGTACCAATCGCGCTTTGGGGAGATTTTCGACCGAGCGGATTCAATAAACCAATCATGCTGATCGGAGGTATGAGTGACAACGAGATCCATCATAAGCTTCATATTGTGTTTATGCAGAGCTTCGATTAGCAAGTCGACATCCGCCATGTTTCCATAGCGCGGGTCGATTTCTTCATAGTCCGATATATCGTAGCCCATGTCGACTTGCGGGGATCTGTAAACTAGACGATGATGTTATATTAGCGACTGAGAAAAAGATGGCAGCTATCGACACCGGGCCTCTTTGTGCCCTGCCCAAGGATATAGAAGAAGCTGCTACTTACTAGGACTGGTCCAGACAACATCCACTCCCAGGCTCTTCAAATATGGCACTTTGTCCGTTATGCCACGCACATCGCCCCAACCATCTGCTTGAGATGGAGGTTTCCTGCTCTTGAAACTTGCGGGATAGACTTGGTAAACTACCGCTTCCTTCCACCACTTTGGAGTTGCATAATTGGAAGATGTCATGCTTGTAACCTCGGGGTTCATGGTTAGGAGGCCTATAGGACTATTTTCTCGACTTCACCTACCAACCACCGGGTAAGAAGTTGTCAATCGTTCAATGCGGGGTGTCGGGGTGTCGGGGTCGGACTAAATGTAGTCAGACAACATCCTCTGTTTTCCCCGCACGAGGACTTGTGCGTAAGTTTGCAGTATGATTAACATGTAGGGCAATATATCTTGTCAATGAATACACCCCAGTGGATAGGACCGGAAAGTCCACTACAGCCCCATCATGGATACTTCGTCAGTAGGGACCAGCCTTGCAACGTAATCCTACCGCGAAGAGGGAGCTAACTTATCTGGACATACTAGGTAGGCAAGGTTGCGGGCCGGGCGCGGAAGCGTCCCGCCGGAGTACAGGCTCGGTCGCTACGTCACCTGACCGAATGAAACTATCTTCCATTGGCCGGATAACCAATTTATGATAAGCGCGGCTTTTCTTTCGATGCAATAGGCCTAGCGCTGAACTTTAGTAATGCACGGTTCGGCGTTGAGACTTCACATCCATGATGGCTGGCATGAACACCAAATGCATTTCTACAAGTCTCTTCAGGGGCTTGTATGAACTCTGCTCCCTCTTTCTAGCATCAAATTCTTACGATCCACCTTAAACTACTTCTTGATTCACTCTTTTTGTCGAAGTTGGGGTTGCCCAACTTCAATTCATGGACATATATTTAGTCTTCCCACCTGTATTATGTAGTGGGCTGGGTTCCGACCCGCAGTGGGTACTTTATTTACTTCATTTTCGTCACTAATCAAGTCTTAACATTTTGAGTCGATACTTTGGCTCCATCCTTCTACATTGTGCATGCTTCCCTTGGCCTCCAAGTTCTAAACACGAGACAAAACAGGTCCAAAACTACAAGAAAACGTCCGAGACGATCATCTCGCTAATTCTTTTCCCCCAATTGTCGCATACGTGCTAGCCACTCTGAAGAGCCTACTAGCAACATATCAAGTTTAGACAGCGGGGCACCGGCGGTCATCGCGCCAACGTGCTGTATCGGACGATACAGTAGAAGGAAATGAGTTTGCAACTGCCGCCCCCCGTGCCCACTCATTTCCAATGATAGGTGCTCAGCTGCCTACGTCTCCCGTGTCCCCGTGATTTGTGTTTTTTTTATGGTGGGTTATTACTGGGTAAAAGTTACTAAGTAGGTCTCTTGCCATGGTCCTTCATTTGGTTGATGCGGCCGAGGCTGCAATGCCGTGCACAACAAGGGAAGCAAGAGAACGCTTCCGATTCTCCGGTGAGCTGTCAACCAATAAATAAATAGATCGAAAATCTCAAGAATTGTGCTATCAAGTGGGGCTGTAGTGTACGGGGCATGCACAGAGAAAGATAACCGGCAGCGGAAACATAATCCCAGACCGCTCCCAGACGGCGATGAACAGAAAGAAAACCACAATCACAAGCTTTGGGGAGACTAGTTCCAGACGAGATGGGTACAGAAGCGGCAGCAGGATGACCCTCTCGTCCCCAAGTCAAGTTAGAAGGTTATACTGACTGGTTGCCCCACAACAATAACTGGGAGATCAGTATGCCACTAAGGTGGCAAACCAATCCTCAAATAGTCCGACCTTCTTGTTCCAGGCACTGGGAATCTGGCCCCATCCATTACCCACATGCTGAACCAGTTTGGAGGCATTCACTGCGGGCCACTCAACCGTACCTTGAGCCTGCGTGTTGGGATTCCCCGTCTTGATGAAGCTGGCTCAATAATCGTTCATCTTGTTGGCGATAGCGTAGTCCTCGGCGGTCCAGGGCTTGTCTATGGCATAGAGATTGTTCAGTACGTAATTGATATCCGACTCGTGATAGGCGCCGGAAGTCTGACCGGAGGGCGCGTGATCCTAGAAGTAGTTCCAAACTCGGTTGCTCTTAGCAGTATACCGCATCTGAGTCCAGAGCCAGGTACCCACCTTGGATCGGTCAGTAAACATGGAATTATATGCCCCTGATGCGGTTGTCGAGTCATTCGCCGGATAAAGACTCAGAAACCGGTCTACCCATTCCCCACTGTACGTTTGGTTGAGGTCTTGCAGATATTCCGCGAGCGAAATATCGAGGCCGTAGGTCGCACTATTCTCGTCCTTATTGTTTCCAGTGATGGCTGGGACGTCGTGGGCCAGACCTTTTATGAGGACGTTGAGGTAGGTGTCCGGCATCGCGTAATAATCAAGAACTGCCTCAAACATGATCGTGGTATCACGGGTAGTGCCGGTCGCTCCGTCGATCAAGGCCTCCATACTGAGGGTGCGGGCTTCGGCGATACTCGAAACTCCCAAGTTCGACAGATAGGTATCTCCGTCCTTCAGCGCCTCGTCCAGCGAGGTGTAGGTTTCAGCGAAGCTGGTACACAGGGGGTCGTGGGGGTCGTGGGGGTCCCGGACACCGCTCTCGACGATGGCACCGACGATCAGATCGCGCGTCAAATTGCTGTACAAGATGTGCTGAGTAGCTGCGGAGCCAGCGGACTGGCCTTGGACGGTAATGTGATTCGGATCACCTCCAAAGGCCTCAATATTGGCATAGATCCATTGAAAGGCGGCAAACTGATCCAGCATTCCTCAATTGCCTGAGCTATTGGATCCAGTCACCTGCTCGAATTCCTCTGAGAGCTCAGAGTGGGCGAGCCAACCAAGCGGACCAGTGCGGTAGTTGTAGTTGACAAAGACGATTCCCTTGTCCGCCATACCACCGCCGTGGACTCGGCGGGATAACTCCACATGACCACGGGAAGCTTCGCATCGGTGGAGTTGGCCGGACTCCAGATATTGAGGTTGAGGCAGTCCTCCATCCAAACGGCTGCTACCGCTATTTCGCCGGCGTTAATTGGCGAGCCCTTGTCACGGAAATTGCTTTCATTGCTACTAATCTACCGGGGATGATCCATACTATCACTCCCAGTATCCCAATTTCGGTGGCACTGCTGCACATTTACAAATGAATTGGTTTATCTCCACTTTCAGCTCGTTCTTTGTCTATTGGGGCCTTTGTCTACTCTTTTCCCCGTCGGGATCATTGTCCACAGCTATATTGACTAGTGGTGAGACTGCATTAGGTATTGTAACCGGTCGACAGGAAGTCAAGATGGGCGGACTGTCAAAGGCATAGACAGTCATATTGATTCCACACAGACAGTTGGTAATGTTACACATCAGGCAACTTGTACTGTACGGTACTGTATGCCCGAATTAAATATCTTACAAGTTTCGTCCGCGGCCGGGTCGGAGATAAGGCAATTGGAATCAGTCCGTACTCTGCTGACTCAACGTCACTCCCTGTTCTGCCCAGGACTGGGCTTGATTTGAAATTTCCATGCATCTTCAAGTACTATATCTAAATTATACTATTCGTACCATTCCTACCATACATTGCAGCATGCAAGGTAGTCAATGCTCTTGATTCGGCGCACATACAACTTCTCGTAGGCCCGGACCATGTCCTCTGGCCATCAACGGTAGCGGCCACGGCCCTCTTATTCCTGAATGGAATGCGCCCGGCGAAAACTTCATTGCTCGAAACAAATCCCCTGCTCGGCTTGTGTAGAGCGAGGAGTTGCGCAACACTGCCGTCGACGACCAGGCAGCAATGTCTCAGATACAAGAGATGCAAGTAATGCAAGTCCTGTTATTAGAGCTTCGTCTACCAGCCATGTTCCAGGCCGCAGAGGTACCCCAAGCGTGACCCCATGTTCACACGACACCAACAATTTGTCGCCTACCCCCTACTCAAGTCCGATGGGAGCACAACAGAGCAACATTACCACCAGCCCCATCAACCCAGGCATCGTTCATCATCACTGCGCTGTGGCAATGTTGCAGGAGAGTCGACCGCGACGGAGAGTTGTAAATAACATTAATAAAGATTGCGGCAGTCATGCTGACCCTAGCATACTCCAGGAATATGATCTCCCCTCATCCATTAAGTCCGGAGTCCGTGGTTCGAAGATAGAGTGAGCTGATCTCGTATCTTAAAAGCACAATTGTCCGAGCTATACTACCAGAAAAGTCTCGATAGTCTGCATAGAGCCGATTTCATGATCAACCACAATCTCCTCAGTATCCAAGCAATATGTCTACTAGGTAATCATATGCATGGGACACATTCTGGGCCAATGTGACAGAATTCTGTACTCTTAGCGAGTGCGGTGTGTATTGCCTAATATCGATGCCTTCATCGACTCGGCTCCAACCCGGGAGAAGGATTGGACGGCGCTCAAAAAGACCACAGCGCCAGACAACGATAGCTGATAAACCGTGAGGTTTCAAAGCGTGTCTGGTGGTTTCTGATTCGGCAAGGCTGGTTGCAGGTCTCATTTAATAATACTTATACTATACACCCAACACAGTTCAATACTCCAATGCCCGCCAATTGTGAGGAAGATGTCGATTTGATGTTCTCCACCGCAGGTATCATCGAGCATGACCAGGAGCACTTCACTCAAGAGACCTACACGATGGCTCTGAATCATGGTTGGTGATCCGCCTACACGGCCAGATGATTCCGGCTGATTTATCATGTCAGTGGCTATCTTGATCTGAAAAACACAAGATAAGATGTGTCTGCAAGGTCATCCAGATAAGGTTGAAGATGGCTTGCGCAAGTTGTACACTGATGTGATCCAGGCAGATCGGGATTTATGGGAATCGATAAACGAAATGCCGAGCTTTTTCCGAGGTCCTGTAATTTCATCATCATTGCAGGCAGTGCATATTAAATCCCAGCGCGAGGTATTATTGCTTGCTCTAGCTCACAAGTTATGTTGGACACACAGTGCTCCAGCTTTCCACCACAAACGTCTTGAAGCTTTACTCTGTTCACCGTCATTTTCAGGTTCCCAGTTTCAAAGACTCATGGTTCGCATACGCGACGGTAAGGTCACCTAAGAGCGCAAGCATTGGAAAGTCTGCGTCTAGCCTTGGCCAACGCGCGAACTTTAGGTTTCATGCCTTTCAATCATACGCCGTAGCCTTGCCACCGTTGTTTCCTCGCCAGAAGAGCCCTACTTTTGCATCGTACGCAACATGTGCACTGTAAATACTCAAGTTCTGACAGCCGCTGTGTGGCTTTTGTTCGAATTAATCTTCTCTCAAGACGACGGCCGACCCCCCATTGACGAGGAGGAAATCAAGGGTTTGGCGTTGAAGACCTTGCGCTTCCTCCAAATCCACCAAACCAAAGGTCGGATCGCTGAAAGGGGCTTTGCTCTGATCAATACACTTTTGGAGTTAGATCGGAGAATAGAGAGCGGGGATCGAGAGCATTTCAATCTAAAAAACATTCTCTCTCAAGTTGAGCGTAATGACGCCCATCCAACTGCCGACCCAGCAGAACTCCCTTATAAAACCGTCAACGGCGGATCTATCGTGGACTGGCTGGCGAAAGGTATTACAACTTAGAAAAGTATCTTTGATGCTCTTGAGGGTATCTAGTATAATATGGTAGTAATCCAGTCTCACAATCCACACGTCTTGCGAAACTGTATTCTCCACTCTGAGAATGCAGATTTCACATCAAAGCCTGGGGTCGGTTTCATAGGCTCGGTCTAGCACAAACAACTATATAATGACTGTGTTATTACCAGAGTTGTTTGTTGTGTACATATAAGAGGCAACCTTGCGCCCGCCACTCCCCAGAGATTCTTTTAGGCCCATAGGTCAGAATGGCGGACTGCGCCTCGTTCTGACACTATCTTGCAGAGAGTTCCACCACTAGGTCATTGCGAAGTTCTCCGATCGCTTTCGTCGCTGAAGTGCTCTATATATCTGCATACCGTCCAGTCATCCACTCGCCCACCGTGATCGGAGCATATCTTGCTCCCTCCTTGCTGTCTTCGCAACTTGGTAGACAGCCAATGGTGTAGTCCGAGTTTCCGGAGAAGGAGAATGGCAGACTGAAGCGCTCCTTGTCGCTCTTATTTATAACTCGGCAGATGTTGACTACATAGGCTCCAGGGATAGGGATCACGTCCACTCACTGCATCGAGACATGATTCCACACCTGAAGTCCCCTGTCATATTCTGTAGCAGAATTTCGGCTACTTCATACTTACCAGCGCTGAGACCAACCAGGGCATCATATATGGCCAGTGTCATGGATGTCTGTTTTTATCCGAGTACACAACATAAACCTTAAGAGTGCGTCTGCCTGTTGGCAGGAAGGGTCAACTCGCATCAACTGTACTGTAGAACTGTACAATTTATTCGCGTAGGGATTGGACCCCGTAACGCAGAGCTGAAACATGGGAGTCAGTCATGCGCCACAGTCAAGACTTCTTCGCTCTGCCAACTGAAACAAAGGAGAGATACGGGGGGGGTCAGCTTCACCCACTCGCCAACTTGACCAGAGGCTGACCATGGACATCGATTAGACATTAGAGGGTTGAACCGCGGCTACGAGAGACTACGAGCCCAGAACTTCGAGAAGCAGACCCAGGGAGATTTGAAAGAGGGGTTCTAGATGGGCAAGAATCTACTACTCACTCGATGACCCGTACGTTATGGCACGCAAACTCGGCCAGGGACCGAACAAGTACCCAGTTGAGGTCACCGATCCACTCGCATTCCAGAACATAATGGATGACGGCCACGCTGCCCTTACCGCGCTGGCCATGGGGATCATGCAAATAATTGCGCGCACACTGCATTTAGATGAGGATGTATTCTATGATTTCTGTGAACATCCAGTAGCCGTGCTGCGTCTGCTTCACTACCCTCCGCAGGAGTCCGAGGCAGCGGATGATGAGAGAGGTCAGTGAAACAGCTTATCTCACCTCCATCCGTGTCTTGTTGTTAATCCGGTCGTAGACACGGGCGCGCACACCGACTTTGGCGATCAGAAAGAAAGATTATGAGTGTGCAGAACGGAGAAAGGGTGTTTCAGTTTTCTCAACGCGTACCCATGCAAGGTTTTGTCGACAATGCCTATGACAGTCTGAATGCTCTCGGAGTACAAAAACTATCAAAAACAGGAACCAGAAGAATAGTCCAAGTTTGAAGGTGTAAAATGGAGAAAAATAGGACACCCCTGTTCAATAAGTGCTTGAAAGACCAATTGAGAGTTTGAGATTAACCCCCGTGTCTACACGCTTACTGTAGGCCGACCAAATTGACTGTCGATACTTGACCTATGTGTTCTGCGGACTCCCGCGGTATTAACTATGCTCACCATGCATAGATATATTTATGTGGTGGTACTGAGCCAACCTGCGTACGACCCGAAAGTCTACCATCATCGATCGCCTGCTGGAGTGATTTAGCCTATGAGCCCTCTGGAGCAGCTTATCGATGTATCTGGAACATCTAGCTTGGGTATATGTGAAACAAGAAAATGCATAACTACAGTATGCCCTTGCTGACTTAGTACAATGTTGAGTTGGCGGGAAAGATTGCGGGTGGGGCGGCAACCGGGTGGAGGAGGATTTGCTACTGGTGGGAGGCTCAATTCCGCAATACCCGCAAAGATCGATCCACCTTCAGGAGGTGGACGTCATGTCATCTTTTGGACCTTATGTTATCTCACCACTGAGTCCATGATCCTCCCTTGGACTTATAGTTTCAACAGTTTTCATCAGACTACTCCGTACACCCAGAATGGCCCACACTTATCGACTTGCAACCACCTTTTTCCGCGCGTATCCATGGGTGAAAAGCCCCTTGGTGGTCAGCGCGCCGATGCGGGTGATGGCCGGCCCCGCGTTGGCGGTCAGCGTCTCCCAGGCTGGCGGCCTCGGCTTTCTGGGCCCGCGAGTGAAAACCCACGAGATGCTGGCCGACTTGCAAGATACTTCCGACCGCGTCAAAGCCCTGCAACATAAATCATGGGCCGAGAGTCCTGTTCTGCCGGTCGGCGTGGGGTTTCAGGTGTGGAGTGATGACCCAGAGCTTGCCATTGCCGCCGTTGAGCAGTATAAACCGTGTGCCGCATGGCTCTACGCCCCTCGCGACCCGCAACGAGACTACGACTTATGGTCGCGTCGCATTCGCACCGTCTCCGCTCAAACCCAGATCTGGATTCAGATCGGGACTCTAGCGGAGGCCAGAGCGCTGTTGCAGGGTCAGGAATTGCCCGACGTGATTGTCGTACAAGGAGCGGAGGCAGGCGGCCACGGTCGGGCTCGCGACGGACTGGGGTTGATGACTCTTCTCCCCGAGGTCGCCGACTTGGTGGCCGGTCAGATCCCTCTCTTCGCAGCGGGGGGCATTGCTGATGGGCGTGGTGCTTCGGCGGCTCTCTGTCTAGGAGCGTCCGGGGTGGTGATGGGGACCCGGTTCCTGGCCGCAGAAGAAGCCCGCATCAGTGCCGGTTACCAGCAGGAAATTGTGCGCGCCAGCGATGGGGCAGTTTCGACCACCAAGACCATGCTGTACAACCATTTACGTGGCACAATGGGCTGGCCAGCGGAGTACAGTCCCCGAACCATCATCAACCAGTCCTTCATCGAACATCAACAGGGGCGACCGTTTGAGGAGCTGAAGGAACTGCACGATCAAGCCCTCAAAGCGGGCGACAGTGGCTGGGGCCCGACCGGTCGACTGGCCACCTACGCTGGAGCATCCGTTGGCTTGATTCACAAGGTCCAAAGTGCGGCAACCATAGTAAAAGAGGTGCAAGAAGAGGTAAAAGCAAAATTACCTGGGATGGTTGGAGGTGAGGAGGCAGGCGTGTAAGGTAACTTAGAGAGCAGTAGGTAGTGTGTGTCTTGTGTTTGCCCGGGTGAATTTACAAACCATCCACTACAGTTCAATAGCGAGTCAATAGTCAATAAGCAGCATTGTTTGTTTGCGGGGGAGTGGGGATCTTCAAACACGGGGAATACGGGGGGGTGATGACGTCACTTTCTTCCTCTTTCTTTCTTTCTTTCTTTCCTTCATTCTGTCTCTGTCTCTCTCTGTCCCCCCATATCGTCAATTCTTCCTCATCCCATTATCACTTCTTTTCTCATTTCTCTCCCTCCGTCAGATAACATTTGGTTCATCATCATCATTGTCAATCAAACAAAACCTCCCAGGTCATGCAAGGCGACAAAGAATACTGTGGCCTCGAGGATTATGGCCTGGTGGGCGACATGCACAACTGTGCCCTGGTCAGCAAGAATGGCAGCATCGACTCCATGTGCTGGCCGGTCTTCGACTCGCCCTCTATCTTCTGTCGCATTCTCGACAAAGCAAAGGGCGGCCACTTCTCCATCACCCCCAGTCGTGGTCTGCACAATCCCTTGAGCAAGCAGCGCTACCGCCCCTACACCAATATGCTAGAGACCCGCTGGATCCACGATGAGGGAGTCATCAACATCCTCGATTACTTCCCCATCACCAAGCCCAAGACGCCTGTCGTGGGAAGTCAAGAGCTGCCCGAGTGGTGCCATTGCAATCAGCCCAATCTCCCCGGCGAACCCCATCATGCTTGTCATTCCGGTCTAATCCGCAAGGCGGAATGTGTGCGGGGCGAGATGGACATTGAGATCGAGATCTTTCCCGCCTTCAACTATGCCCGGGACTCGCATACTGCTCAATTGTCGCGAGGCGATGGCGTTCATCGGGCCCACTTTCAGTCGGCGGCCCAGCGGCTCCAGGTCAGTGTACTGGTGGATGCTGGGGAATTGGCCGCCGACGCACAGCTGAGTCCGGAACTCCAACTGTCGGAACGACCGGGTCACCTGGGTCCCGGTTTGGTCGGCAAGATCACCCTAAAGGAAGGCCAGTCGATCACTCTACTCCTTCATGACCAGGAGTCAATCACCTCCAATGCCTTGGTGTTGGGCCCGGAGCTGAGACGGTTGGAGCGAACGACGGGCGACTTCTGGTCCGACTGGACCAGCAAATGTACCTTCCGCGGACATTACCGCGAACAAGTGGAACGAAGCCTGTTGGTTCTCAAACTACTCACCTACAAACCCACCGGTGCGATCGTCGCTGCACCGACCTTTTCCCTCCCCGAGCACATTGGGGGCAGTCGCAACTGGGACTATCGCTACTCGTGGGTGCGTGACGCGGCTTTCACGGTCTACGTCTTTCTAAAGAACGGCTACCCCGAGGAGGCCGAATCGTACATCAACTTCATCTTCGATCGCATTTTTCCACCCTTGTCCCAGAACGCCAGGCCTGGAGATCCGTTCTTGCCCATCATGGTCACCATTCATGGCGAACGGGAGATCCCTGAGACGGAACTCGATCATCTCGAGGGATATCGCGGAAGCCGACCGGTGCGAATCGGAAACGGGGCGGCCACCCATATTCAACTCGACATCTACGGGGAGCTGATGGACAGTATCTACCTGTACAACAAGCATGCCGCCGACATCTCCTACGACCACTGGCTTGCTATCCGTCGCATGGTCGACTTTGTGATTGAGGTTCGCCATCAACCCGATCAGTCCATCTGGGAAGTCCGCGGTCCTCCCCAGAACTTTGTGTATTCTAAGATCATGCTGTGGGTTGCGCTTGACCGCGGCATTCGACTGGCAGAAAAACGCTCGAATCTACCTTGCCCGGCACGGGCCCGGTGGGTGCAGGAGCGAGACGACTTGTATGATGAGATCATGACCAAGGGGTACAACGCGGAAAAAGGATTCTTCTGCATGAGCTACGAGAATCGGGATGCATTGGATGCGGCGGTTCTCATTGCTCCGCTCGTCTTCTTCATCGCTCCCAACGACCCGCGTCTCCTGAGCACGATCCAGAAGATCATGGAACCTCCAGCCCGGGGAGGATTGAGTGTCGCCAACATGGTATCGCGATACGATACGGGAAAGATTGATGATGGTGAGTGAATCATCGAGTGCGTGCGCGCGGGTCTCACTGGGCGGTACTGATACGCATAATAGGGGTGGGCGGGAACGAAGGTGCATTCCTGATGGTTACCTTCTGGCTGGTCGAAGCGATGATGCGCGTACGTACAATCTTTTTGATATTTGCTTCCGCTTCCGCTCGTCATCTAATCCGGACTTTCTGTATATCTAGGCTGCTCGATCCAAGGAGTATCTCCCTCATAATCAATTTTTCAAGCAGCTGCGGAGAACAGCTACCTCGCAGTTTGACAGTATTCTGTCATTTGCAAACCACCTGGGTATGTTCTCGGAAGAAGTGGCCTCATCAGGGGAGCAGATTGGTAACATGCCGCAAGCATTCAGTCATCTCGCCTGCGTCAGTGCCGCGATGAATCTTGGGGGCGGAGAGAAATAAAACATATTACATAGGATACGATATACAGCATACACGTTCTCTGAGTCGACATAAATTTGGTTGCCGGTCGGCTGAGTGCCTCTCGTCGGCAGAAGTCTTGTAAAAATCAAACAATTCCGAAATTCAAAGCACGCTGTGTTGCGTCTAATCTCACTAGCCTAACCCATGTCAGCTCGTGTCTGTTTGCCATTGGCGATGCGAGTGTTTTTCTTTTTCGATTCACTCGCGCTCGCAAAGCTAACTCCCACGTACGCTGACTGCCGCAACCACGTACTATCAAGGGTGAAATCTCAAATCAACGACCTGTAATACAGCATTTTTACGAGTTTTGTGATACCAGTACACCCGGACAAGGTCACTGCACTTCGCGTGAGCGGTACTTGGCAGCGCCCGCTTCCCCAGCCTGAATACGAGCCGAGGGACTACATCGTGATCTTAGTCAGTCATGTTTGTTTGGGCGTTTTCGAGTGACCTTTCACAAACAGCACAGTGCTACGACGATTGAACACCAGCTTTGACTGGCTTCTGTAGTGGTAGGCGATGGGTTCAGCTCGTCGCCCCGTATTGCCATGTGGTAGGCCACAGTTCCGATGATTTCATTGGCGAAATCGCGAGGTCGGAGATCCCTGATCCCGGAGAGAGGCTGCACATGATGTCTGCTGCAGATGGCATTGTAAGGTGGGCCAGGTCGTTTAAAATGATGATGACCGCCGACTCAGCTTTTCCCCACGAAGTAGGTCCCAGCGTTGCGGAATCAAGCCCTTTCGTCTTCTGGAAACATCATTCTCACCCAAGATCTTCAGCATGGACGGCTTCGATGTGACTACAGCGCCGGAAGCCTACCAGGCCGTCAAGCCCATCGCGGACCTCTTCGTCCTGGGGATGGGTCTAGGCTGGACAATCAACTACATCGGCATGGTGCACGTCTCCTTCCGCGACAAGTCCTATGCGATGGCGATCATACCTCTCTGTTCCAACATTGCCTGGGAAACCGTGTTCGGGCTAATCTACCCATCGAAAAGCCTTATCGAACAGGGAGTCTTCCTCGTGGGCCTGGCGATCAACTTCGCCATCATCTACGCCGCCATTAAACATGCCCCCAACGAATGGAACCACGCGCTGCTCGTCCAACGCAACCTCGCGCTCATCTTCCTCATTGGCATTTTTATCTTCCTGACCGGATTTCTGGCACTGTCGCGCGAGATCAGCCCCTCCCTGGCCTACTCCTGGGGTGCGGTCTTCTGCCAGCTCGCGCTGAGTGCCGGTGCACTCTGCCAGTTGGTGAGCCGGGGCAGCATCCGCGGCGCCTCGTATACTCTGTGGTAAGCACCATCCCTAACGATGCCTTCATCCGCTTTCGCAGCGACGTACTGACAGGCTCAGGCTCTCTCGCTTCCTCGGATCCTGCTGCACGGTGGTCTTCGCTGGGCTGCGGTGGCGGTACTGGCCGGAGTCATTTGCGTGGCTGAACAGTCCCTTGGTGCTGTGGAGTCTGGCGGTGTTTCTGCTTTTGGATATCTCGTATGGGTTTTGTTATTGGTACGTTCAGCGCTGGGAGCAGATGCAGTTGGGGAAAGGGGGTGGCAAAGATAAAAGTGGATGATGGCGGATAGACTTGGGCCTGTGGATGTTGTTGCCCCGCTTATTTGCTGTTATTGCTTGCTATAAGAGGGTCCAGTGGTGGCGAGAGTGGTAAGTAAGTATAAAGACTATGACCATAAATGATTTAGGAGACTCGGAAATCAGGTAGAACCGTTTGACTAGACTGACTGCCAAGGCAGCAATTTCTCACCGCCAGCGTCACACAATAATAACCGGCCTTAAGTACGGAGTACTTAGTGACTTTCTAACTGCATCCTACATAGTCTATGCCCTAGTATCGGTCCGGAAAAGACCGATCTCCGGATTTATTTGACAGGCACGTGGCACGATTTATTGCATGATGCTAAACTCCTTTAATCAAGTTTTCCTCAAGACGTGGTCTTTTTCTCCCCAACCTAAAGGGAGAAAGGAAAAGGCGAGAAAAATCAAGATCAATCGCTAAATAAATACCAGAAACATTTATTCTGCTATCCGATCCGTTCACTTGCACATTCGACCTTCATGGCTCATCGTGCAACCACCGATCCCATCGAAGTGGACATAGGGGAGGAGAATCCCGGGGCTGGTGGGGGAAATGAATCCTCCTCGTCAACCACCTCGCTGAGCTCGAGTGTCTTGAAGTATGAATACCGACATGGTCGGCGGTATCACGCCTATCAATCGGGCAGCTACCCATTCCCCAACGATCAGCCCGAACAGGACCGGCTGGACATGATCCACCACGTCTTCTACCGCTTGCTGAACCAGCGGCTGTACCTGGCGCCCATTGACCCCAGTGGACTGCGAATGCTCGACATCGGCACGGGCACGGGCGTGTGGGCGATCCAGATGGGCGACGAGAACCCAACCATCGCCAAGATCGTCGGCAATGACCTGAGCCCCATCCAGCCGGCCTGGGTGCCGCCCAACGTGCATTTCGTCGTCGACGACGTCGAGAAGGACTGGGTGGGCAACAAGCCCTACGACTACATCCATTGTCGCTACATGGCCGGGTCCATACGCGACTGGCCCCGGCTGATCCAGCAGTGCTATGACAATCTGGCGCCCGGGGGTTGGCTGGAACTGCAGGAATCGGCCAACACGCTGTATTCCGAGGATGGGAGTCTGAAGCCAGATAGCTGGATGGTGAAGATGATGGAGGGGCTGCTCGAGGCCGGGGACAAGATCGGGCAGACCCTGGACCCGGCACCCTCCTTTGAAGGTTGGGTCCGGGAGGCGGGCTTCACCAACGTCCAGAAGCACGAATTCAAGCTGCCCATCGGACCGTGGCCCAAGGATGCGCGGCTGAAGGAATGTGGGAGCTTCATGCGGGTCAATTTCATCGAGGGGGTGGAGGGGTTCACCGCGCAGCTCTTCATCGATGTTCTGGGCTGGACGCAGGAGGATGTCGCTGCTCTGAACGCTGGGGTCCGGGCGGAGGCTCTGAAGGGCGTGGTTCACCCCATCTTCGATTTCTTGGTGGTGACCGCACAAAAGCCCTTAACTGCGTAGGCTGTTTGTTGAATCGGTCCAGCGAAGGTGGCGGCGCGGAATTCAACGACCGGAGTGATAGACGCAAAGCTAGACGCAAAGCTGTTATGTTATGTGTAGAAACTGCGATAATAGGAATCTTCTTTGTTATTCCCCACCCCCCAACCTTGTTGCTGAAGAATGCGACCGTCAGCAAAGGTTCTTCGCAAGCTTTTTTATGGATTCAGCTTCATACTATGGTTGTGAGCGACCCGATCCATGAGCGCTGTGGACTCGTGAGTTTCAAGCTTAACACAGAGCCATTTGAGAACCCCACCACCTTTCCAAGGCAGCGCAGGGGTCCATCACCAGGCCGAACTTGGACCTTATCTTTCTTGCTGTGTGAGGTTGTTCGGGATATGCTCGGACTTGGGTCGGGATGTCTCGGTAGAATTCTCTTTCTCTCCGACTCGATAGCCGAGGCACCGACAGCCTCCGCGGCACACAGCCTCTTGGCAGAAAACATCAGAAAACATCAACCCTCGCATGTTGGAGGTAAGCTGGAGCTACGCACGCCCCAAAAATCTGCGCATAACGCGCAAACGCACAATCAAAGCGTTACGTTAGAGGTCCAGCGGTTCGACATGGCTCCGGAGTACTCATCCCGACATCGGAAGAGGCTGCCTCCCTACCGGGAGTGGGATCCCTCGTCGGCCGAATATCATACTGGTTCAGCGAGGTCTGGAGGGGATCGAAGGCAAAGTCATCGCTGTACGCAAGTCGCATCAGGTAGAGTTCACTTTCCAATGCACAGATCTTAGCATTCAGGCGTGTGATTTCTCCGTCTTTCTCTTGGTGGGCCTTCATTAAATCGACATGTTTCTGTTGTAGTTTTCGGTGGTGACAGGATAACGCCCGGAAGCTCTTCTCGAGTTCGCGCGATGTAAGGGTTGACAGGCTGCGCGGTTGTGACGTAGTAGTCTGCGATCCTGTCAGTATAGTTATGACAGTGTCGTGGTGCAAAAAAGAGGCTTCATACTGGAGCTGTTTTTCGACTAGTCTTTGCGCTTCGCTGCTCCGAAGATAGGCGGGTGCATGCTGTGCAGCTCGGCACATCGCCAAGGTTTCCAGCAGTTCCTTTGCTTTGAACACACTCCGAGCTTACACGTGGCGGTTTTGACACCATCTCTGACGAGCATGATGTTTGCGAATGTGTGTCAGAGGGTGTGCTCGCGAGACTTCTGCTGATAGCAGATACCTAGAAGAGTTCTCAACCAGCCATCCCAGCAAGACAATCTAGCTCACTAAGGGGGAACTGACCTGACTCACGGGACTCAGAAGGGCACCATGTGCTACCGATGTCGCGACTGCGGAATCCATGCTTGTCTCCATGCAAATTGAGCATGTGTAGGACAATGCAGTGAGAGGTTGCGATCGTTCTTCCAAAGAGAGATGTCACGCATAGAATAGGTAGCCTTTCAATCCGAACTCGAGCGATCATATATAGAAACTGTAATAAGAAAAGCTTGTCCCTTGCGTCATCAGGGATAACTTAAGTTAGTTAGTTTGCGATTTTGGCGCAGTCCGGAAACTTCTCGAGCGTCTAGATTCGGCGAGAATATCGCGCATGGCCCCACAACGGGGCAGACACGTCCATGCGGGTATTGCGGGCAACCCGGCTCGCAGAACACGGGAACAAGGGAACAAGGGGACGAGGGTCTCGAGAGACAGATGAAAAGGCGTGAATTTTGATAGAATATAAGTCTCAACTGTTGGTATCAACCATGCCACACTAATACCTCACTGACATCATTTTGATCATTCTTGTTCATCAGGCAGACCCTTTGCCGGCCGAGTATCGACATCACCTCAGTACCCTTTCTATGATTTCCATCCAGCGCGGTCTTTTCTAATCAAGGCAAACATACAGAAACCGCAACCTCGTCATCCATCATCCCATCATGCAAGGCATTCAACATAATCAACATAACCAGATCCAGTCATCTCCTTATTTCGTCTCCTCCACGAGCCTGGCGTATCTCATGCCGCACAGCAAGTTCTCCGCTCCGTTCGAATGGGCATAGACTCCACCAAAGAACTGCTCCGTGGCGTCTTTCCCCACGTAGCTAAGAATGATCTTGGTGCCACCTGGATGCTGGTGTACGAACGGAGCCACATCGTAGATAACCCCCTTGAGACAGATCAAATGGTGCCCTCCGTTCGCTCTCTCGGTATACTCGGCCCAGGTCAACAGCGGAAGTTCCTCAACCGGGGTTCCCCAACTGATCCCCTTTGCCTCTTGGTTCAACTTCTTCATCCTCTGCTGGTGCGCGCCCATGCTGACCTCGTTGTCGGGGAACTGCTTCAGGTCGGAGGTCATCCCGAACAAGGACAGGATGTAGATCGTCCACTTGGGGGGATCGTAGTGGTACCAGCGCACTCCGCTGCGGTAGTCCATGGGAAACTCGTGGTGGTAGTTGTGGTAGCCCTCGCCTCCAGTCAGAAAGGAGGTGATGACGCTGTCGCGCGGCGAGTGTCGGTCGGAGTAGGTCTGGTCACCGAGACTGTGGGCGATGGAGTTGATAAAGAAGGTACTCTGTTGGACAATGAACATCCGGATGGCACCGGCGTACACCAGGCCGCCCCACCAGTCGTCCCAGAGTAGCCCCGCGAAGACCGTGGGCAAGATGAACGCAGTGAGCACAAACAGCGACATGTAGTTGCGCCGCTGCCACATCACAATCTTGTCGTTCTTGAGGTCGGACACGTCGGTGCGCCCGGTGAGGCTGCGGTCCTGCGTGAAGATGATCCAGCCGAAGTGGGCATAGAACAGGCCCTTGTGCACGCTGTACGGATCCTGATCAGTGTCTGTGAAGCGGTGATGGGCACGATGGTCGCGCGCCCACGTATAGGCATTGCCTTCGCCGACGGATGCTGCGAAGAAAGCGAGGAAGAACCGCGTTACTGCGGTCGCGGTGTAGGCGCGGTGAGACCAGAGCCGGTGGTAACCTGTCTGTAGATTAGCTTTGCACGATCTCCAGGTCAATGAGAGTGGAAGTGCTGACACACCTGCCGAAAGACTGATCCCACTGATGAAATAGTAGACGATTGTGAGGATAGCCGTCTTCTTGTGCAAGGGAACCTGAGTGGCTCCAATGAAGCCGAGCAAAGGAATACCCCAGATGATGAACATCCGGAACCACTCCAGACGCTTGAACCAATGGATCTCATCGAGCGGCTGGGCTGGAGGCTCTTTCCTCTCGGCCAGGATTTCTTTTTCTTGCACCGTCATTTTGGGGATTGTGAGACGAGAATTGGCGTCAGTCGATCAGTCAGTCCTGTCGCTGCAGATCGTGGTTTCAATATAGAACTCGAGAGCGTTGCAAGTTATGTACAAGAAGTGAGCCCAGTCTCACAAGCAAAACATCCCACAATCCGTCATTCCTGGGAGATACTTCGTGCAGGATTCGTTTGTCATGTCAACCACTGCAAGGCTGTTTGGGGTGGCATCTGGCGAGATGGACCCTCTGATCCGCAAATCCTTCAATCCCCAAATCCTTTCCCTGCAACCAAAGAACGGCCAATTGATTCCTTCTCTGATTCACAGATTGCTACGAGACGAAGATAGACCCAAGAGTCTTTTCTAACGCCACACTCGGCTTTCTGTTTTCTTCTCATTCGAAGCTGAAGCCAGGCTATATTCAACCCAGGGTTGTATCTTGTCCCATCACATACTCACCAACTTGATCAACCCGCCAAACCATCACATTGAACACCGATTTCCAGCAAAAACGGCGTTTGGTCCAAGACAGGAATCATGATAGCCACCGAAATAGCCGGCCTAGTCGGCTCCTTATCGCCCAGCAAGGTCTTTCTCGTTGCATTTGCCGTATTGAACTGGAAATCTCTGCCCTTCGCATGGACGGTACGCCCACACTCGAGTCTACAGACACAATCCATTCCATCTAGCATCCCACTGACCCAAAGCCATCCAGACTCGTCTCGTCTACTGGTTCATCCGCGGGCTCTACGACCTCGCCCATCCACCCAGCAACCCCAGCCCGCCCGTTGACCTGCAGGGCAACCCAACCCACCCGATCTTCGCCGTCGGCACCACCACCTCCTACTGCTCCCTGCTCGAGACGGACTACAACTTCCACAAATCCAACAGCACCTACTACGCCGACTTGGACGCCTCGCGCATCACGCCCATGGCCTACTTCTACTGGCCCGGGCGCGAGAAAGTCAGCGCGGAGATCGATGCCGAACTCGCCGCCCAGGCCACAGCCGAGGGGATCCCGCCGCCGAAAAGTGCACCGATCTTCATCGCTCTCGGCGGCGTGTACTGCAGTTTCAAGAAGGAGATCAAGCCGTTCGAGCGGTACGAGATGCGGTCGCAGGTTGTCGCCTGGGATCGGAAGTGGATCTACGTCCTGACGCACTTTGTGAAAACGGGCAGGCGAAACAAGGATGGGAGCAGCATAGTCGCGGCGGTGGGAATGAGCAAGTATTGTGTGAAGAAGGGGAGATTGACGGTGCCCGTGGAGAGGCTGCTCGCCGCTGGGGGGAAGGTGCCTGTTAAGCCGGTGGCGATGGCGGACAAGGGCAGTGAGAGCAGCGTAGATGCACAGTTCGAGTTCACACCGGCTGGCAAGGCAGGAAGGGAGTGGACGTGGGAGCAGATCGAGGCGCAGCGGCTGCAAGGGTTGAAATACTGCCGGTCCTTTATGGGGATTGATGACGACTTTTATGGAAGTTCATAGTAGAACTGCTGGCTTTTCCTTTTAGCAATGATATTAGAAGTGGAATCATGGACGGAAGTCCAGCAGAATATGATATTAGCTCTTCTATTGCTCGGTTTATATACGGTATATATCTATCCATTCTACTACTCGGATCTACACCCCAGTGGCGTACTGGCTCCTCCTGCGCAACGCCGGCCCGTAAATCCACAACAGAATCGGGGCGGGCACCCCGATCACGAATCCGACCAAAGCAAGCACCGAGTTTCCCCAACCGTAGTGCAGCTTGTCATAGAGATACGGGGCAAACAGCGGGAAAGTAAACCCCGCCAGCGAGCGCAACGACTGCGCCCCCGCACTCGCCGACGCGGCGTAGGTGGGATACACATCCAAGGCATACAGTTGGGTGCATTGCGTGCCATACTTGACCCCGATGGCAAAAAGCGCAATGCCGATGTCCGGCATGATCCAATGCAAATGATGCTGCGCACTCCAGCCATACCACAGCAGTCCGACCGGGACCATTAGGGCACCGGGCAGCAGCAGCGGGAGACGGAACTCGGGCTGGGCGGTGCCATTGTTGCCCGCCACCAACCGGCGGTAGACGATGCCGATCAGCATGGCGCAGGATTGGGTGCCGATGATGTATCCCACGGCCAACCCCAGATAGTTCAAGCCCGCGATGCTGATCGACTGGTGGTACTGGGTGGTCCAGAGCTCGGCAAAGGTCGCCAGCGCCAGGTAGACCAGCCCGAACAAGTAGGAAATGTACAGGGTCAGCACCTGGAAGATGGGCTGCGTGGCCAGCAGAATATACGGCCGGGTGCAGGCAACCCGCAGCTTTTTGCGCAGACTCAGGTCGTCTTCCTCCCATTTGGTGCGGAGGGACGTGTTGCCTGTCTCCTTGCGTAGTCGGGCTGCTTTGCGACCCAGCAGCACCGGAGCGTAGGTCTCTTGGAAGAAAAAGGTGGCGATGAGTTGGAACAGGCCATCGGCGATGCTCACGCTCCAGAAGGTCCAGCGCCAGGAGCTGTACTGAGTGATAAAGCCACCTAGCAGAGGGCCCAGGGTTGGTCCCAGCAGCGTGACCATGGTGTAGATACTGACGGACAATCCTCGCTCTTCTTTGCGCCACAGATCCCCGAGAATGCCTGAAGCAATCACACTTGCCGCACTGTAGATGAATCAGATGATGAACACAGATCGATGAGGCCAACCAATGCCGGATATGGGGCAACCCACCTCCCTCCAAACCCAGCAAAGAACCGACAGACAATCAGCTGGGGCCCTGTTTGTGCAAATCCACACGCGGTGTTGAAGGCGAGATAGATCAGATTGAATCCCTGCAAGATGACGCGCCGCCCATAGACCTCGGACATTGGGGCGGAGAATAGGGGCCCGAAGGCGTATGCCAGGAGGAAGATCGACAGGCTCATCGTTTGCTCGAAGGCATGGTGGATGTGCAGGTCTTTCGCGATCGTGCTCAAGGCTGGAGCGGTCATGGAGGTGGAGATGGGCGAGATGAAGGCAAAGGTTGAGGCGATGGCCGTCATCCTCCATCGCATCTTGAACGACCAGTTCTTCGGGTTGTCGGGATCATCTTCGCCGTCCCAGGTCACCTTGGAAGTGTCAATAGCGGATGGGAGGGGGAGGGGGAGACTTAGATGAACACTGGTATGCAGTAGATGCAGTGTCCGACCGAAAGAGGCGACTTACCAAGTTGATGTTGGAGTCTGTCTCGGAGGCTTGACATTCCTTGATCGGCGGTGGTGGCTCTTTGCTTTGGGCAGGGTCGGTCACGGGGACTGGCCCTTGAGACTGGGAAGTCTCCATACTGCCACGGTCGGAAAAGTCTCAAATCTGGAGAAATCAAGCAGATGGGAAGGAAGAACAGAACCAGCGGAAAATCAAACTGTGACACCGAGTGGGAAGCTACTCAGGGCGTGGCGACA